ACTAGCACGCAAGACTGTAATGTATTAAACGACCACACTTCAAAAATGTCTAGAATATTGAACAATGTTAAGTGCAGGAGAATTCGTAATAAAAGTAAGAAAATATGTATTATACATCAGCACTTATTTATTTTATCCATTTAATATAGAAAGAATTTATGGACCAAAAAACAATAATAAAATGAAACACTTTTTTAATACAAAATAATGTTAAAACAACAACGAACGCCAGCAAAAGGCGAGCCAAAAGAAGTGAAAACATGTGAACCCAACAGAAATAAAAGCAAAACTATCCCGACTTAGACTTATTTCTTTCACTCCGGAAGTTATCAACATTCGACCGGTTTTGTTGCTAACGTACAATGAAGCGAACACAGACTGTAATGTAGACCGGTCTAGACTCGTGTAGACTCGTGTAGACCAGCACAGAACATTACAGACTGAGAATGAATTATATTACGGTAATCAGCGCAGATAAAAATATAGCAAAAAACAAGGCATACTCGTAAATATTAGCATTAAAGATGTGCGTCTTAATGTAGATAGGGATAAAAATAATTAATTTTACATACAACCAATACTCTTCTCCTAAATCTTTTGAAATAAGAAGAATATAGATCCTTATTTCATTATAAAAATGTCGTTATAATTATTATAAAACAGAAATTATGACCTCTGTAACATTTTCCAACACGTTACGATATGACAAACAGTTGTCTTTATAATAAACAATGAGATTAATGTCACATATTATATAATATAAAATATAAAAACAAATGTAATCTATTTTCTATATCTGAATCCCCCACGAATCCAGAATGCGCGCTCAGGCGAAAAAGTGGGAGTACGCCTGGTTGGCGCGTCTGACTGACAGCTGACAGAAATGTATGACACTTTTTATATTTAAACAAAAATAAACTGTAATCCAAAGTTATACACGGGACACGAAAAATTTTATATGGAACGTGTTCGCCCGAGGCGAAGCGTTTCGTTTAATGATAGATGCAAAAATATTACTCGGTATGTTTGTAATTTGGTGTAATTTTTTATGCGTATTACCTAAAATGGATACTTTTATTGTATAATTATCTTTAGGCTTTTGGTTTTTCGTGGTCAGTTTTATGTTCTTCTGAAAAAAGGTATGAATACCGTGTCTACCAAGGAGGTTATTATATTCTAAATCGTAACCCTTAATCTGTGTATGATTTATAAGTGATAGAAATATATATCCAATTAGTTTGCCGGTACAAAGTTACTCAGTTCCAGTTATAACAAGAGCGCTACAAGTTCACGACTCGCTGTGGTTATACCAAAAATACGATTTTAAGATAAACTTTTCACGAACGAAACTTGTATTGCATGTATACGGAAAAGTTCTGATTACAAAAAAAACATTGAGGATTCAGAAAAAAATTGTGACAAAAAAAGGCTGCTATTATTACTTTTGAACCTAAAATTTACTTTTAGGGATACATTTTTCTGTAGTTTTCAAATATAAAACATTTCCTTGTACTTGGTCGACTGCAAAACCTGACCATCTTACTTGAGAAGTCAAGAACCAGTCACATAGAGCCGCGCTGAAAACTAAGATCTTTAACTCCAGAGCTCATGTGAGCTGGTGGTTTCATTTCTAGTTTAGTATTTCATATAAACTCCTCTCAATGTATGCACACCCCACATTCCGTATTGCTCACGTTTGACCGACTTACTTCCAAACGACTTGAACCCGCGAAAAGAAACAAAATACTTGTTGACTATCACGATTTATCTCAATAAGAAAAATCTTTGAATCCATCAATCCAATACAAATTCATTACATACAATTCCTGCGTCAACGTTCTACAGCCTGAGAGTAAATATAGAGCAATTTCAAAAATGGCTCTTCTGTCAACCTGTGCCTGCATCGCAATCAGATCGGTGCATCAAACAGCGCTAACACAACACTATAACGCGAACATAAAATTTTATTTGTTTATTTTATAGACTGATTTATAATAGTTTATATACGAAAACTACGATTCCATTGACGTTTTTATGTCATTGTAAATATAACACACACAAAAGATTTTAGTCACCCTCATATATATCTTAAATGCAACGAAAATTTCAACCGCAGAACATCTGCTGTACTTTTAAATTGAATCCAAATCGTTTTAACAAAGGAGTGTAATAAAAGTATGTTCATATTATTTTAGACATTATCTTGTTTGAAGTAGTATCATGGTTTTAGGTGTATACAGGGTGACTGGTGAATTACTATCAATATTTAAGGAGCATACTCGGTACATGATTCTCATTCGAATTATGTAAAAAAATAGGTACTTAATTTTTGACCAAATTTCCGTATAAATAAATAAAGTGTGTACACGTTCCAAGTGTTCCAAGTGTGGACGCGTGCGGCGGCGTGCTGATACAACACTACGCCGCCGCCGCGTCTGTGTGAGTGTGTGTGTATACCTAATCTGTAGGGTGTTCACACGATGCGTAATTAATTACATAACTTTTGGTATAACTTTACTAAGAAGTTTATTAATATTTATGTTATATTAATTTTTATTTTGTCATATATGATCGTCAAATATCACGTCCTCAAATATCGATAGTAATTCACCAGTCACCCTGTATATGTAGACAACTCGTGTACTCCAATTACCAGTGACTTGATCGAGGAATCTCTTCGACATCAGCCATCATACGTGACAAGATGGGAAACATTCAATGCAAGTGTAAACTTTGAAGTGATTGATTGAATATTCTTCAAACAAAACAACTTCTCAATGAGATAAGACTCGGATCACTAAGATAAACACTGATTGGATTGTATACAAAATAATAATTAATAGTAAAGTTTGAAATATAAATACTATGAAGATATTCCAATGAAAAACATTAAGTTTTGTTTGAAATAAATAATGTACATAACTCAATAATAATATATATAAATAGTTTCAGTCACTGATAAAGAGCACTTAATTTGTAACTATACAAATGTAATTCGTTCATTTCTAGAGTGTCTTTGAATGTGGCGCCCACGTCGCTCACGTCGCCCACGTGTGTTGTGGGCGCTTTTACCTGCTCGTTTCAAAGGACGTCCATAATCCCCATTGAGATCATTCTAAAACCAATTAAATTGTATTTTTCAATTCGAGTGGGTTTTTACGTTTTTATTTGAAGCGGACGTTTCGTGTCAGTAGAGCTTGTAAGGAATCTTCTATTTTATATATTATATGTATGTACATATATTATATAATAAGAACTTTAATCATTAAATAGTAATTCTATATAGTTACCGTTTCCGCCATTGTAATGTTAAACAAAATTTATATGTACTTTGGAGTGCTTTTACCGTGTTTCATATAAACACAGTCACGATCATAATTTCAAGATTTTACTTATTTAAGTGTTATTACATATAAACTCTATAGTGAAGGCAATAAAAACTATATTCCAATAAAAATAATATTATATCAAAAACTAGGTGGTTAGTACACCTTCTATCGCGTGTCTACAGAAATTTTCATAATAGGGCCGTAGAGTGAAATCGATCTGTAATGAAATGTTATAAGGTATAAATTAGATTGACCTTTGGTGATATGGAGTAGAGTTACGTCGTTCTCATCACAGCTAACTGGCTCTGTGGTTTATTTCACTGATGTATGGAACATTACTTCAATGACAATTTTGATTTATTATCAACGATGTACGGAATGAGTTATTGTCTGGAGACAATTATGTTGAAATATGTGTCCGATAGAAACTTTACCCAAATTAAGTCAACTTAAAATATAGATGTATTAAATTTAAGGAATATTTACTCAAAGTAATCGCTGTGCTGCCTTATAAGCTTCTTAATTATAACTTATTCACAAATATTGAGATGAAATATTTAATCAATATTGGAGAGTTGAAAGAGTAGACGGTTTGGTTCCCATTACTACTAAAAGGTACCTTATCATCTGATCTGTAACAGTTTGATTTATTAAACTTACTTAGAGTCACCATGCATCTATGGAAATCGGGATAGAAATTTTAATATTCTTTAATCTATATACATGACTATTAAAATCAAGATATTTTTTGGTTACTTTAGTCGTTTAGATGGTCTAAAATCACATGAAAATAAAGCACGTAAACAGACTTAAAAAAAATAATGAAACATACAAAAAAATCGCAACTCCCAACATTACATGTTTATTTAGTAGAAGCCAATTACTTTTATATCAATTCACAGCAAAATATACATACTTATATATATATATTTAGTTATTTTATTCGTCAGAATCATGGCTAATGGCTATGATATTGTAAGCTTTCACGTGATGCCAGCGTTTGATATTAATTTGTCATTTTCATTATTAATATTGTAATATTCAGATATGGATCTCATTAAACATATAGCTTGTATGTAGTTGAAGCTAGGTACTGTACAGTAAATGGTTTGTGTAACAAGATCAGAGTTGATACATGAAGTTATTCTTATTGATTATTTCATTTAAATTATACGATTGTCACTTATATGAAACTAATATTTGATCTTTAAGTTTAAATGACAGTTATTTGAAAATTTAACTGTGATTTTAAAGTAGAATGTAAAAGGTCATTGTTTTCTTAAGCCCGAACTTAGTACTTATTCATCCGTAAATATTACCATACTTTATAAACATATACGGGGCAAAAAATATACAATTATATTCGGGTGTATTACATTTTAGTTATTTTAATTTTCGATAGTTTAATTGATGTATTAAAACCACAATAACACGAATCAGCACGTAATACAATCAAATTAAACTAAATCACTCTTTATTACAAGATTACAGAGACACGTATAAAAAATATTTTTACCATTATTGTATGCGTGAATGAAAAGCTAAATGATTAACATAACATTTTCATTTTAACAGGTGACGTATGTACATAAATTAGACAAAAAAAAACACTAAAATGTCAAAAGTGAAGTGAAAGTGTGGCGATTGTGGCAATTGTGGCATGTGGAGGCTATGGGGAGGCAGCGGCCGACCGCGAGACACTTCCACAATCAGCCGGAGCTGCGGCGAGGATGCTCCGGGATGCTGAGGTGGATATTCCTCGTGTGGCTCGCCGGCTGCAGTCCACGCGGGAACACAGTCCGGCAGGATGGTAAGACAGTAGTCCAGTCCGTATAAAACGTTATATACAAAGAAATCGATGTAATAAATACATTATACAGCCGGAGCTGGAGCGCCCGCCGTGACGGGGGTTCCGTACAATAGTTACCAAAAAAAGGGCCTTTTGTTTCCCGCCGACCCTCTGACAGCAATTAATGTTGTATTTTAACTTCATGCCGCCTTCACACGGCTACCGAGATAACGTGAAAAATTGCTGTTACGACTTCTAAATCGATTAATTTAATACTGAATTACGATCGACAAAATAAAATGAATTATATCTATCTAACACTGAAGTTCCTCTTCTAACAGTATTCTCTAAATTGAGTAGCAGGTAGCTCTGCCTACATGTAGCTATCCGTGTAAGTTTCCACACGGTACTTAAACTTATCCTTCGCACACTTCCCATATACATAATATAACTTCTACGCATATAGCAATACATTCCTAGTAGTTTTAAGACATTACTATAAATAGTAATTTCGATTTCTTCCACTGACACTTTACAAACCTTTTCTTCACATAAGATTTGAAAAAATCAAAGCACGATAGTTCTTTTAAAGATATTTCAAAATATGTATCACAATAACACACTACTTACTATAATATTTTTTTCATTATATAAAAACAAATATTAAATAATTGTATAGCCAGCCTAAGTCACGGAGTAACAAGGGGTGACCTTCACAAATATCGTATTTAATGATTAATTATTATGAAAACGAATTCTTTATTCTTATCTCCCAATTTAAAATATCGTATAACATAATTTATAGAATCTTTGAATACGATTTATATTAAAAATATTTATTACAAATAAATGTTTTAATGTAGATTTAATGTAGATGTTAGTGATTCAATATTTTTGAGTACTTAAATAAAGTTAGTAACTTCACAGACGTCTAGGTCTTAACTAGCTCGTAAACCATGTTTGAGTATTGAGAAGTAGCTTCCTGGATTTGAATAATAAATACTAGTACTAGTGACTAGAAGGACGCGCTATTAACATTGATTAGATGAAACACGAGAGTTAGGAAACATAATTATTTAGAATATTATGATTTTAAAAAAAGCACCTAAGTTTAAATGAACCTTCAAAGTTGTACCATTTTTGATATAAAGGGTCTTTTATGTATTATATTAATTGTAATAAGACTTGCGGAAATATTTATTGAAATAAAATTAATATTTTCGGATTACTTTATAATTATTTTATTATTTTTAAAATTCTCCTCTACCCGTGATCACGTTACTGCAATGTACGATACGTCAGGAGTATGTAGTTTTAAAAATAATTAATATATTGGAAATAGATTATAATAAAATTTATTTTATATAAATTGTTTATTATTATATCAATTTTTATTCGACCTGATAGCAAAACGACAGTAATGATTATTATCGAAAACTGAAATTAAGATCAAAAATTATTTCAATTAATGCAAATACTGAAAACCATTGATATAGAACGAGTGGGACGAATTGAAGTGGTATTAAATATTTCAAACAATTAACTAAGAGCTATGAAGTTATTTGATATTCGTCTTTGTCAACCAATACGTGTTTGAACCAGAGGTGTACCAGTATAGTATTCACTCGCCGGCTCAACCATAAAGCTTTGAAATTCCATTGCGTGTTAGACAAATTCATTGGATATATCCCTGTTGGATATTTCTGTCCCATTAAAATTTTGGAATGCACCATTCAATTCAGCAAATAATTAATAAGTGTAAAATATAAAATAATTATGCGAAATTTCATGTTTTTTATAACACCGTGTAATTCATAAAGATTCTTAACACACTTTAGTTTTTTTTTTAATCAAATAAAACATTAACTACAGAAAAATGAAAGACCGAGTTATAAATAGGTTACCGGTAGCCCAATTAAAATTAACGCTGGAAAAATCATGTTCCAGACCATTTAGGAAATTAACTTGATTGCTGTGGTTTGCTAGAAAACTGCGGATCTTAGAACTTTTGCTTTGAAATGTGCTTTTATTTTTACGGTTTCCCGTAGAGGTTGAACTTTGTTATTTATAAATAATTAAAATTTTATAATAAATTTACCGCAATCCTGCTAAAATGGCTCACCGCCAACGCCCACCGCAAGCGAAGCGAGGATTATCACCAGCTTTAATATTATTTCATTGAACTTCTATTTTGATGTAATTTATACACAAGCAAAAACTTGGACGCTGTTAATTCAACTACATATGTTTTTTATGAACGCATTATCTTCGTTTTTGCATTCAAAGCAATTCCTTGTTGACCTATTCAGTATAATTTTTATAAAGATCTAATTTGTAAAGTCCCAGGAGCACATACATACCTTAAACAACTCATTGGACATCACAGCCTTTCATGTTACGTCATTAAATTTAAATAAAACCACGTCGTATCTTAATTGACTTCAACTGTTATCCTAATATAAATTACATACAACAATTCTAGATGTAAATAAAAGCACATTAAACAAATTCCAAGTTGTCCCAAGTAAAACTTAAAGGCAATAACTTAATTCAGTGATTCAGCTGTAACATCAACAAGATCTCGTCTCCAGAGTAACTAACTATAATCCTTCTTATAAATTACAAACAATACATTACTTAGAAGAATGACGTCTAAATACCTAACTCCAAGAAAGACATCGCATGCACTCCCACGAGACTCGTACATCGATATTAAGAACAAAACTCGATACCTAACATAAATAAATCTTCCGTATCTTAAGACGTAACTCATAAAGCATACCTCGTGTAATCATTAATATGAGAAGCGATATATATAATTCTAGAATTCCATATATATAATTGATTTAAACTTTCCTATTCCAAGTCCTGAGACAGTAAAATGATGAATAGATCTTACATTGGGACCATTGTATTGTAAAAAATGTATTCAACAACCAGTATACTTCTGCTTTGTAACAGAACGTATCAATTTAGGGGGAAACTTAGTGATTAATGGAGCTGTTTATCAATTAACGATGGCAGGTGCAGGTTTTTGTGGGGAAGAGATAGCAGAGGACATTAGGCTCTCGAATACCGCGTATTACAAACTTTATATAGTTAACGTTACAAAGTGATTTATTGCGCGATATTTATGCATTGAATGCAGAGTTGGCTATTTAATTTTTAAACTATTTGTTATAATAACATAAAATATTTGTTTTGGCAACAAAAGTTGCGTATATATGATTGTAATTTTATTAATAAGCTATTTTGGAAGTTATATATTTGAAATGGGACCTTAGATGGCAAAAAAAACTCGATATAACAATTTATTAATTAAAATGTATTACTTTGTGCAGTAATACACGTTTTTACACTACATTTAATTAAGAGTCCATATACGTTTAATATAAACACTAACTAACAAGTTGTGACCGGAGTATTTCTGTAACCACCGAGGACAAACTCTGAGTTCGGGGCTTGAATTGCGTCAAACGAAAACTTGGTCAAATTAGGTTAACACACTGAGCTTTGACTGCAACCACGGATTCCGCATGATTCTTTAAGGGGTCAGGTTTGCTGAACAAACTCTAATGAGACTACTTCTGTAACACACTGACGCCTTTACGCTGAGCGAAACTCAAAGACATTTCTCAATATCACTCGGATTGTTTCTTGACGGGAACGAAATCTATTTTTGGTTTATTGGACGGCTTCCGGACAATTCTCGCTCACCAATACAATAGAACGGTACACATTGTTTGCACTGCAACTAGTTTAGCAAACAGCACAGATCGTACCAGGCGTGCCAATAACTGGAGTCTCATTCATTAGAAGACAGCCTGGTAGTTGTAATCCGTCATAGATTCTAACAACTGATTTCTATGTGCCATTTCATGTTTAATAAAATATATAATTTTGACATTAAACTTTTATCAAGGTGCCGCAATCTTTTGGACAGTAATACAAGTACGACAGTGAAAACACGATTAACATCTGACCCCGAATGTTGGCTGCATGCCATAACAAATAGACGTACAAAAAATATAAAACTGCTTATTTTGGCATCGCAACTTTGACGAGTCACTCTAAGTGGAAGATAATATTTATTAGTCTACGGCACACAACAGTGGAATTGAAATGAAGTGAGAGATAAGAGTACAAAATAGTATTGGGTTTATTGTTATCGTAGAATATATAGTATGTACGTATGTTTCAATATCAACATTGTGATTATTCTTACTTGATGTGGCTGTTATAAAACATGTCAGATTGTTTAACAAATGGTAAAACTTCTATAGAAATACGCATCGCCATATCACATCTCATCTTCAGGATATGAATGTGTTTTCAAAGCCAAGAAGTGACTCAGGAGTCTGGATGACATAACGAATTTTGGCTGACATCCCCGAAATCTCGACAGCATTTCATTTCTAACATAGTTATAGTAACAGTTAATACAGTTCAACAATCGAGAAGGATCACGAGCGAGTCGCTTCATAATCTAACATTTGAATTAATTTGCCCAAAGACTGACGTATGCAAATAAGTTTGAATTAAGCTAACTAAACGACCCTAAGAATAATAATATAGATGTTTACCACAAAGTGCTTTGCTGTGTCGCCATTCATCATCTTCCAACTACATTAATATTAAGACAGATAGCATCCTTCTCCCTCTCACACCACGCTGCTCCCAGTCGCTATCTGCTTGACAGTTTCGTAGGGGGAGCTTTTTTCAATAGCGGCATAGTGTAAGACATAGAGATACAAACGTTTGTATCAAACGTACATGTACGTATATGCACATATTTACGAATGTATTTTAAATTTACAATTGAGTTTCATTCCCTCGAGTGAGGTTGTCGTCTCAAATTCTCTTAGACAACAAGATTTAAAACATTTCTATCTGTTCAGATGACATAAGAAAACGATAACATTTTGACACTTCAATTATTGAAATATATAAATAGAACTTTAAATTTAATTTTCCGTGTATAATAACAAATAAGATGGAAAAGACGACTGTAGTCGTCGTTATATAACCAATGCCATTTAAATCTATTCTTTTATTCACTTTATATAAATATTTAAGCAAAACTTCAATAAACTTATTTAATTTATTCATACCAAATCTATCATACTGACAATTACGTAATTTTGAGCATTTCATGAAATAGTTATAGTTAGTCTACGGTCATAGGGTCAGAAAGTGAT